GGTGTTACTGGATAGTGTTCCGGAGTCTAATTACTGGACCTGTTACTTCCGACTGACCACACTGGGATAATTGGTAGGAAGGGCATTGCCACTGGACACGACAGGCAATCTTTGTGTGACTCATGACACACCAATTTCCACAAACTAGATGGATCAGTGGTCATAATCCATTGTATATTTTAGTAAATGTTGGAGTGTCCAGATTTCATACGTTGAAACAATGCATCCAGACAGTGTCTGATTGTTTCTTCAGAGATAACCGTTTCTCTCCAGTCCGAAATATTTCATAATTGACCCCCAGCCGGCCTGGTGTGCTGACACAACCCCTTGTGGACGAAGGCCCCCTAGGACAAAACCCCCTTGGGACAAAAAAAACAACACTATGTAGGACAAAAATCCCAATAGCTCCAAATGAATAATGAAGATTGTCTATTATTCAAATATTTTATTTAGCCGACATCACATACAATGTGTACATACATCATACATATAAACAGGTTACACCACGTCATGAGCACCAATGAGCACTAGCATAAACTGGGTGCATTACAATTTGAGCACTAATTAGTCTGTCAACACAACCCGATGTTCCACACCGATCAGAGAGTCTTCAATGGAGATCTTAGCATCTCCTCGATCTGAACATAGGTTCAACAACCTTGAAGCCCTGTGGTCTCTTGATTTCATGGTTCTCTTGGCTGGACGTACTCCTCGGGCATACTGGTGGAGGAGAGTTGACACTATGCACTCGTCTCCCTGGAACTTCTGGACAACAGACCACACTGAAGGATTGTCATGACCAACTAGTTTCTTGAAACTGGAATTCTAAGATTCGCAGATGTTGTTGGTTTTGCTGTCTCCCCTCAGTGTGGCATTATGGACGTTCCATAGATTTGGTGGATACAGGGGAGGCACCCTTCTCATTCTCATGGGTGGTCGGGGTGCATCAGGGCTGCATGATGGGGGCTGGATTCTCTTGAACGTTCCATCAAAGTAAAACACCAAAGCCTAACTACAGATGACAACATTTCTTCATGCACACAGTGAGATTTACCTGACAACGTGCCGTACACACAAGTGATACTAGCATTACCCAAAGCTGTACGAATACACATGTTTGTAGAGGCTAGGAGCTAATGAAAAACAGCCATCCAAAATGCCATAGCAAGTATCTGAAGCTGCTCAGTGTCTAAGAGAGTTTTCAGAAGCACATACTGTCACTCTATGTGAAGAGCTAGGTTCACTATCATTGAGGAGAACTGGCTCAGGGTTGGTACCGCCTGTAATAGTCCATGGCTCTTCGAAATGCAGGTCATGTGGAAACTTGGGTACTGGCGGAAAGGCTGCTGACTTGTGACGCCGGATGCTGCGTTTTACAGGATCTAGTCTTCCAGCTTCAGCACGGACCTCTGTAGGTGCTGTCTGTAGGGCGTTGGCAAGAATCTTTCCTGGTGAGGCCAGGGCAACTGGAGCTTGGTCCTTCAGATGGGATCGGAACTTGGTAACCTCTACTGCAGGCTTGTCTGCAGGATGGCTATGTGGGTTACATGGTACTGGATCTTCCATCTATAAAACATATATGTAATGAAACTGATATTCATGTGTATGATATATAACAGTCTTAAATTTAATACGGAAGATGCATAAATTCAATATGGTAAATGTATATAAATAATATATAAATAATTATCAAACTTACTGTCAAAGACGTCTTGATATCCCCACGACAGATTAGGGCTGTACGACGGCTACATTCCCAGCGACTGTATGACTTTCCAGTGCTCTGCTTTGTATACATATAACCTTCGTAACCTGACACCACCCTTATCAGTCTTCAGTATCGCCATGCTGGAATACTACTGCCTGCTTAGTTTATGGAGCATATATCAATAATGAAGTTTCACAAACGAGGGGCGGTGGGGTAGCCACTAGGTAAAGCGTTGGCTCGTCACGCCGAAGACCCGGGTTCGATTCTTCCCACATGGGCACAATGTGTGAAGCCCATTTCTGGTGTCCCCCGCCGTGATATTGCTGGAATATTGCTAAAAAGCGGCGTAAAACTAAACTCAGTCAGTCAGTTTACAAACGAAATACTAAGTTGATTAATGAAGCCTGTTAATCCCTGTCACTGATAATCTCTATTACTGATTCAATCAAAACATGTCACTTAAGTCAATCACTCAGTAGTTAAAACATGTTTGGTGGTTTTGTCCAAAGGTCCCCATAAGGTTTTTGTCCTAAGGGGGTTTTGTCCCAATGTTTTTGTCCTAGGGGGCTTAGGTCCACAGGGGGTTTTGTCCTACAATCGCCGGCCTCAAGGCAGTCCGTGGTGCCAGTTCACCTGTCCTACAGAATATTTTATCTCATTCAGGGAGAGTATGTGCGTATATGCGTCAGGTAGATAGCTGTTTCTCACAGCGAGTGACGCGTATATGCGTCGGGTAAATAGTTGTTTCTCACATTATTTCAACCAAGTTAGTAGAACTGAGCAAAGATTAGCATTTCTTACGAAAGATGCTACCTTTAGTGTTGATCACAGGAAGTATTTAGAGTGTTTTAGCGATTACTAATCATTATACACCGTTTGGTAAATGAACACATGTCGGCGAGAAAGCTGATTATGAGATCTTTTTTACAGAGGCAAGCTCCGGGTACTCTTTATTGGGAGCGGATACTAAAATACTTTTTATGCACATTGATTTAATTAGATGTAATATTTTAGAGGTTTGGTGTCGTGAGAAGATTGGATTATGCCTGCTCCTACTCAGAGGGGAATAAAATACCTGGTTTATTTACTTTACATTATAGGCGATGACTGAACGTGTAAAATACAATGCGCTTTCAGAGAGAAAGAGGGTAAAAACAACACTACAAGTTCAGTTCGTTTTTATTCAGTCAGCATGTTTACACGCGATTTACAGTTGAAGATATCTAAGAAAGTGAAAGAAATAGCCAACAGAAATTAAACACACGGTCGAATGATATAAAGGTACATGTAGGGCATAGCTACAATCCCCTCGGCGACATAGGCCCCAGCCTGAAGCCGACGTCAAACTCTTAATCATCATCATCATCATCATCAGTAACAACCTTTCCATTGCATCTCTCATGATCATAGCAATCTGAGCAACAGCGACAGTGATTTTGAGCTAAATTTAAGGGGATCGGAAAGAAAGTCACAGGAAAAAAGGTCACGGCAAAACGTCACAATTTTGGCTAGGAAAAAAGTCACAATAACTAATTTTATCACATTCAATAAGTTATGTTAAAATAATCATGATCATAAATCTTAATTTTATAACAAAATAATGAATTCAAGCACTCAGTTATTTAATGAGATAAATAAAATTTATATAGTCCTTACAGTTCTACTATCTTTCAGAGGTAAATAAAAATTCTTTATCAAGTCGAATATGAGTGAGGAAGTCAGCGAGTTTAGTTTTACGCCGCACTCAGCAATATTACAGCTATATGGCGGCGGTCAGGAAATAATAGAGTCTGGATCAGACAATCTGGTGATCAACAGCATGAACATCAATCTACGCAATTGGGATTGTGTCAACCATGTCGGCGAGCCTGACCACCCGATCCCGTTAGTCGCCGCTCATCATTTCATCAGCATCAGTTGATTCAATCAATAATTACATGGAGAACAACCCGGTATCGTTGTTTTGTTGCCCAATCTAGACTCACCAACACAAGCAACACGCTTTAATTGGATGAGGTCTTTTACTGACGTACAATCAACTCGTGGACTGGGTTTTGGTCCTCTACCAGACTTAAAGAGGCGTTGGTTTGGCTTGTTGTTTAACGCCGCACTCAACAATATTCCAGCTATATGGCGGCGGTCTGTAATTAATAGAGTCTGGACCAGACAATCCAGTGATCAGCATTATGAGCATCGATCGACGCAATTGGGATACGGTGGCATGTGTCCACCAAGTCAGCAAGCCTGACCACCCGATCCCGTTAGTCGCTTCTTCGAATGTTCCACCTAACCCCATAGAGGAACTCTGGGATTGATTTAACTCATTAACTGGACCCCTGCACAAGTTCTGAAGCTGTCGCCGATGTATTTCGGTCTTCGCCTCCTTCTTGGCTGGCTTGCCTACACCGTCTTGAGCAATCATGGATCTCACTGTAGCCTGTTCTTTCTTTGGAGAGTTGAGCGACAGTAGTGTTTTATTCAGGGATACGTCTGAAAAACCCAGCAGCAGTGACACAGAGAAGCGTCAAGACACACAAGACACATGGAAGACTGGAGATCGCCTCACATCAACGCCGAAGACAGCTTTTACCGGACCTATACCAGGCTCGACAGCAGACATCGACCCCAGCATGCGAGAGCTCGACTTCTTGAAGCTGTTCTTCACCGATGACGTCATCGACATGACTGTCAGCCAAACCAACCTGTGTGCCCAGCAACAGCAAGCTAGACATGGACGAGACGAAATCTGGGTCCCTGTTACCAACGTAGAATTCCGAGCGTGGCTTGGCATTTGAGTGTTCATGTCTGTGAATCATCTAACGAACATTGACACGTACTGGTCAGAGGACTACCGGTTTGGCTGCCACAGTGTAGCTGCCATCATGAAGAGAGACCGATTCAGCAAGATATCCCAGTACCTCCATATAGCAGACTCCACCACCATTGTGGGACGAGGCCAAGAAGGACATTACAAGTTACACGAGATTCGACCCGTGCTTGAGGCTGTGCGTGACAGGTGCCGTACCCTGTACAACCCACACCATAATGTTAGTATAGACGAAGCTATGGTGGCATTCAGGGGTAGACTTGCCTTCAGACAGTACCCTGTACAACCCCCACCAGAATGTTAGTATAGACGAAGCTATGGTGGCCTTCAAGGGTAGACTTGCCTTCAGACAGTACCCTGTACAACCCACACCAGAATGTTAGTATAGACGAAGCTATGGTGGCATTCAGGGGTAGACTTGCCTTCAGACAGTAGCCTGTACAACCCCCACCAGAATGTTAGTATAGACGAAGCTATGGTGGCCTTCAAGGGTAGACTTGCCTTCAGACAGTACTTGCCAGCCAAGCCCACCGAGTACGGAATCAAGGTGTGGATGAGGGCAGACCCAGAGAACGGTTACGTCAGTGATTTCCAGGTGTACACCGGCAAGGAGAACCGTACGGCAGAAGGTGGACTCGGTTCCAGAGTCGTCATGGACATGATCTCCGGTGTGGAGAACAGGCATCACATTGGGAACTGTGACAATTTTTGGATGAGTCCTCAACTCGGTCAGAGTCTACTCGACGTCGGCACATATGCAAGAGGCACTGTCAGGAGCAACAGGAAGGACTTTCCGAGTTCCATTCTACCCTCCAAGTGTGTAAAGAAGAGGAGACATGGTGGTCGCACAGAAGGGAGATTTGGTGGCAGTCGCGTGGAAGGACAAAAAGGTGTGTAAAAGTAAATTTATGTTTCCATAAAATTGAAATGAAATAATATAAATTCGTTCTCTTAGACTATATTTGCTTCAACTACCCAATAAATACGAAACAAGATACGCAATTTCAAGGACATACAAAGAATTCAAACAAAATAGAATACTTATTTACCTTTTAGGTATTATTACGTTGTTATATAACACAAATAACTATACACCCAGGCCCGAATAGACTAGGCCTAAATTAAATTACTAATTTAAAGCTTACTGAATTGTAACTACTGTAATCGTAGTTATTTTCGCGTGGGATTAATTTTCGCGCTTTTAGCGCAAAAAGATTGTGCGCCAATACTCTTACCAAGCGAAATATTCATGGAGAAGTCATGACAAATACTCAAGTAGGAACAACATGTAATTTTGTCTTTCAGTGGCAGTTAGAAGTTGTACATTGATGTCCAAGATTTTTTTATGGATTAAACTTCTTTTTAGTTTCTCTCACGACGTTTCGAGACCATTCCAGGTCCCTTCATCAGGTAATTTGTCTATTCTCTCAGATAACAACATCAATGCAATTATTCCCGGTCCATGTTTACAAATTACGTGATCAAACAATGTCAAGAACTCCAGATGTTCGCCTACCGGTTATTCCTTAACACAATGTAGCTTTGATCATTGCATGAGTATCGGTTGTGAAATACCATCACTCAGGCGTTTGAAATGCGCGAAAAAACAACTGCGCTAACAGGCCTTTTGTGAACTTTCCGCCAAAATTACACCCCGTGAAAATATATACGATTACAGTATTTCTTTTTCATAATCTAAAATTGATAATGTTACCTAATAGTATATAAATTGATAACTGGCACCTTTGCATGGACATATAATACGTGTACATGTCACTGTAATTATAACACTGACATCCTTTACTACGTTTGTTACAAAACCCAGCTGGTAATCGAAATTCTTAGACATAGATAGAAGTAATGTCATAAGTTATTTATTACATGTATATCATATAAACGTATTTCAAGTATTTTGTGAACGGCTGTTAAAAGTTTTATAGTGATTTGAAATGTCATATTTCTATGCAATTTACATGAGCATCGTGTAATAGACTTGTGTATGTGATAGCTTTATTTTTATAAATAGTTTGAAAGCGTCTTCAAATTTTAAAATGTTGTCGTATTTGGAAAAATATTTCTACCGAGTTATCTTGGAACCCCTGATCCATTGTAATTATCACGTGTATCAATGAACTCAGTCTCTATTGATCCATAGTCAATAGAAGTAGGATAGTGTATGAGTTACGGTATCGATACACATACGTATAATCATTCAATGAGACTGTAGTACTGAGATAACTGTGCACCTCTGTTTACCTTGAAATAACAGCCTTCAGTAGAATGCACATGTAGACACGCCCCTGTTGAAAGGTTTGTCCCGTGACAAGTGTAAAATAACAGATGCGCTGTTATATCATTGGACAACCTGCTTTATGGAGTCACGCCCCATTCTGTAATGTTTATGCATACATGCACATCTGTAATCCCATGAACCTTGTATGCATTCAATATAAATATAGGCAGACCCATCTTCATAAGTTATTTAGGGAATACAACTACTCAGCAAACTGCAATATTTCTTGATGACTCACGTTACTCATTTCATTTCAGGTTGTGAACCTGCTTTCCACAGCTGACGATGCTGTTGCCATTCGGTCTACTGTCTCCAGAAAGAAGAAAGATGGCACTATGGTCAAAGTCCCCTGTCCTACCGTCGTGAAGCAGTACAACGACCACATGAACGGCGTCGACCGTGCAGACCAGATCAGGAGCTAAGCACATACCGTACCAGCAAGAAGTGGTGGTACTATCTCTTCTGGTTTGTCTTTGATGTCGCCGTCGCCAACGCCTTCGTCCTCATGAGAGGCTCCCAGTTCCACCGCCTGACGACCAAGTACCACAGAATCAAGCCCAGAACCATGCTGCGGTTCCGTATCGCCTTATCCAAACAGCTGATCGGCCAGTTCCAGGGCATGAGAAAGAGGAAGAGAATATCTAACAAGGATGAAGCAGGGACGTCCCACTGGCCATCGACGTCTGTGAAGAGGGGACGATGCCGACAGTGCGCCAAGGTTGGCAAACGACGGGAGGTCAAATGCAGATGTTCAAGCTGTGATGTGTTTTTGTGCGTTGACTGTTTTGAGACTTACCACAAGGACTTGTTTCAAGGACGATAATGTGTTTCAAAAGTTAAATATAACGACAATCACTTGTGTATTAATCTTGCCTACCTATACATCCTTTATATGCCACATAAGTCTCCCATTTCAATGTATTCCCTACAAGTTTATAGAGTATGATAATTCAGCATCGTGCGATTCAGAGAATTTGTTTATCAATGTCTCGTCTTGCACATACAAAGAATACATACATATGTTGATAACATTATTAATGTACAAACCGCCAAAGGGCTATAAGAGACACATGCAATAAACTGACATAAAATGTTACAATATATGATAATAATTATGCATTCACACCTGCTTCCTTTCCACTCAGATCTTTATGACACAATTAAACAATCAGGACTTGTTTGTACGACTAGACAGTTTCCTGTCATCCCCGAAACATGCCAGGGAAATCAGGTGTGATTAGTACTAATTAGTCTCGACACAGCCAGCGGGAAGTCAGTTAGGGGATCCAGGTGTTATGAGTGGAGTCTAGGGCCGTTTCCGTCAGTCGTTCGTCTGGCTCCAACTTAGACATGCACAAGTCTCTAAGTTAAAAATTAATAGTTTCACTGATAATTTCTAAAAAATAAATAAATAACAGACTCGTGTCCTCGAGACTTGCATCTTCGAAGGATATAATTATTATACATCCATAGGCTCAGCATTCAGTACAGCCTTGCAGCAAGGCTAGCTCCAACTGTGACGAGCTGAATATAGGGTTGTTGCTGGAACCTCAGGTGAACCAATTAGCCTCAAGACCCGAATCAGGACAAACGTCCAGTCAGAAACGTCCTCGCCCGTCAGTGCTGTTCTATTAATAGAATCATTTACAAACTGGAAGGTGTCAGTGAGTGTTGGTCGTGTATTAGCGCTGGCCAACAGGTAACCGTGGGACTCCACGATTTGGCCAAACACATCGTACCGTGTTGGGATTCGAACTCGGTTGTTAGTCGGCTGTGTAGAAACCTTTTCGCCTTAACTAAGCCACTCCCAAACAACCATGCCTCCAGACAATATCGGTGTTATTTCATGACAAGTTCACGCCTCAACCTAACTGCCTCCAGACAAGAACGTATATGTCGGAGTGAGTGCGTGTGTATCCGTGAGTACGTGCGTGCGTGCGTACGCACGTACGTGTGTTTGTGTCTGTGTGTTTGCTCTTTCTCGAAGCAGAAAGCTGTTACAGATGCACTATAAACTATAAGTGAAGTATTCTTGAGTGTTAGGGCTGTTGGAGGACTTAAAGTCTAACAAACTTTCCGGTTGTATTTCCAATGGGACGGGATAATTAGGCTGAAAGCATGGCTTCTTTCGTCCATCACGTGCACATTTGTTTGGAGGGCCATTTAAACCGGATTCAAAACCAATCAGGTTCGGCAACAGTTGCTATCATAACAGAGTAAAGATTTGGATAATCGAAGGTTCCTTCTCTCAGTAATGTACACTCTGAGTCAATGATGGGATTGTCTGCAATTTTAGAAAAATCCATACCTTAGAATAGTAAGATAAGAATTGGCTTCACACATTGAACATATTGGTGGGAAACGAACTCGTGTCCCAGGCATGAGGAGCCAACTCAACAATAACTGGGCTACCCTACATCGTGAAGACAGACAGGAAAACAACTGAAACCAATAGGAACATGGTGTCTTTATAATGTACAAGTGGCGTTAACTCGGGCAAATTCCCCTCTCTCCAAGAACGTTTGTACTCAGATTGCTCGGCGCTCTTCTAAACCCCTCGCGTGTTTCGTGTATCAAGAAACGGGTTAATGTACTAACCCAATTAAGATCTGTAACGACAAGTCTAAATTCGTCGCCAATCAGAAAGCGAAGCGTTCATTATTCTCACGTGACTTTAGAAGGTTTTCTTCGTCATCTGACGTCAACTGAAACATGAGCACTTCCGTTACACTTTTCCGCGAATGAATACATTGTTTGTACGTGTTACAGTTGTATAAGTGCGCGTAAAAAGGAAGAACCCCATAATATTCCCGATAACGTTTTGTATGTTTACAATTTCTTATTTTCTGTTATTACAGCATGTGTAAACAATGGTTTGCGTATATCTTACGTGTCTTCACAAAAAAGATTTTGTTTTTGAAGATCCCGATTGTAAAGAACTGAAATATATCTATCAATATGACTTGGAGGGTATGAATTTTGGGGGGGATGTTTTTATATTAAGTGCTCAATTTACGCAACAACAATATCGTCCAATATCCATGTCTTCTGACCTTGTTTTATTCAGAATGGATGCCAGCGCCTGACTGTATTGGTCAGTGGCGTCAGCATGCGGACGCAGCCGATGCCGTGGTACAATGTTCATAATATCAATCACTGGTTTGTTGGACTTTACTACAGTGTTTCCAGGCAACTGAGATACAGTATGAATACCGGTGCCTGCGCCAGTGCCTATCTTGTGTTTCTACAATACTGTAATCATAGTTATTTTCGCGTGGGATTAATTTTCGCGCTTTTAGCGCAAAAAGATTGTGCGCCAATAATCATACCAAGCGAAATATTCATGGAGAAGTCATGACAAATACTCAAGTAGGAACAACATGTAATTTTGTCTTTCAGTGGCAGTTAGAAGTTGTACATTGATGTCCAAGATATTTTTATGGATTAAACTTCTTTTTAGTTTCTCTCACGACGTTTCGAGATCATTCCAGGTCCCTTCATCAGGTAATTTGTCTATTCTCTCAGATAACAACATCAATGCAATTATTCCCGGTCCATGTTTACAAATTACGTGATCAAACAATGTCAAGAACTCCAGATGTTCGCCTACCGGTTATTCCTTAACACAATGTAGCTTTGATCATTGCATGAGTATCGGTTGTGAAATACCATCACTCAGGCGTTTGAAATGCGCGAAAAAACAACTGCGCTAACAGGCCTTTTGTGAACTTTCCGCCAAAATTACACCCCGTGAAAATATATACGATTACAGTACATTCGTCCCTATAATGTGTATAGACAGATTGTGCAGAGTTGCGTCCTTGGTGATCAGATACTGTAGGAATACTGGTGCCTGCGGCAGTGTCTATCTTGTGTTTCTACAATATATTCGTCCCTATAATGTGTATAGACAGATTGTGCAGAGTTGCGTCCTTGGTGATCAGATACTGTAGGAATACTGGTGCCTGCGGCAGGGCCTATCTTGTGTTTCTACAATACATTCCTCCCTATATGTAATGTGTATAGACAGATGGTGCAGAGTTGCGCCCTTAGTCATATATGTGTCACGCTGTGTTCGTGGGTTCGAATTCTAGGTTTGTTCTGATTATGTTTCCAGGGTCGTCTAGTGACGGGGAACGGTGTTCATTATATCAATCACTAGTTTGTCGAACTCCTTTATCTATAGCCCATAGGGATTAAGCAAGAATATTGGTGCATGCAGTAGAGGCTACTTCTAAAATACAGCCGTACCTGTGTAAAGACAGATGTACTATGTCCCGAGGTCTGTCTGAGATCTTGTCTCTGTGAAAAGCCGGAAATGGTCTTTCGTGCACATGGTTGTCCAACTGTAAATTTGAACAGTTCGTTCTCTCCGCTAAATAAACTATGGGTAATTGACCCCATTGGTCCCATTACTGACGAAGTTAATGCGTCTGTAGAATGGTCAGTGATTTCTGATTTAGTCAAGACATTGTTCCAGTAGCGTCTTGGGGACTGAAAGGGAAGATCGTTTTGCCATCAATTCCAGAACGTGATGTCAAGCAAGCGAGTGGCCAGATATATCTGCTAAAGTCACAAAGGAAAGTTTTCTTTTATCCTGTTCGACAGCTGAGGACTCCCCCGGTTCGGAGCCATTACACAAACACTGAAGAAAAGTAAAGTGGTGTTGACAAACACTCCAAACGATCCCGGGTAATTTGGCGGGAAACGTCACACTGACAGCAGTTACCTCCCCTTGAATGAAAGCCCAACAGACGGGGCTGATTAATGGTGGATGTGTACAGCCTGTTGTGTATAATGGCTCAGCTTCTATTCATTGTTTGGTAGACACAGATTTGTTATTAAGCCCGGAGACTGAGTGGAATGGAGAATATGTCTCAAGAGACGCTACTTGTAGATGTACTCCAGTTCCCACGCAAGCGTTACATGAATATCGCGTTGTTTGTTCTGATGCCCAGTCATCATTGTTAAAGTACATTTCCAGTTTGAACGATTATTTTTCTTCCTCCCAGTCAGTTTCACACATGTTTCAGACAGACACCTCCACAGCGGATGGTTACCAGGATGACATGTCCTGATTTACCAAAGGGGTGCACATACGCACACGCACACGCACACTCACCCTATCAACCCCTCCCCAATACACACAGGCATCTGCAAATACGCATTAATACACAGTGCAACACACGTGTATGCACACTGACCCACACAAACAAAGAGCAGTGTTGACAGGCCAAGGTTAACAATCGGAACGAATTTGAGGTTCGAACCAGTGATCAGCGGATCCTGGTATGGATCTAGGCGTCCGACAGAAGGAATACCATCATCAATGTTAGGCTTCAAGTATACCACCTTGTAGTCAATAGTAAGCATCTGTTCGCCTGTCA